GATTTAATCTTTGAAACTTATAGGCACACAAATTAAACCTGTGTTGTTGATTTTAGAAAACACTACTGAAGCTGCCTTGCTTCCCTTCAGAAAATCTACATTTTAACCAACTTACATGACGTTCTAGGTTACGTTGACTTTGTCAGATGAAAGTTTATAGTGCATTTCATCAATTAATAAATAAATGTGAAAATCGGAATTTTCAACACAAATAATAGTCTCGCTACCTTAAGATGTTTTAAAATTACAAACGAAGTGTTCTTAATGTCAACAGAATCAATGTTGATGTATATTAATATATTTCTATTGAAACAAACAAAATATAAAAATATAAACAAATATTGTCAAAAATTCATTAGTAGCTGTGAATGCACTAATGAGGCCAATAATAGTACAGAACAGTTGTGGAATCTGTCACTGGCAACACAACACTTCAGATAATAAGTCATACCTGACTATGGAATTAGAATTAGTCAGCCATTTATAGTACCACGGAAACAACCACGCGACGAATATCAACAACGTAAGTAAATACAACTTTTTATACATATTCCAGTTCTTCAATCTATAGAATCAGAATACATCTATATTAGTTTATTACGATTGAGTGAAGAGACATAATAGAGAAGGGAGTGAAAAAACGGAGGTTTGGTCAGATAGGGATTGGTTCCTATAATCTCGAGGGCAACAGCAGAATTCTGAAACCAAAATCTTAGGGAAATATATTTTACAAAATGGGAATAAATTATGGCAAACCGCAAATTCATCATGGAAACAACTTGTTAGCACACAACTGAGAGAAGTTGAACAATGTTTTGCACATTATTTTCTGCCATCGCTCCACCAAAGGTCACCCCTTATTAGAACTTGTATTCGCATCAATGTCATTTTGTTAGTTATCAAATATAGTACAACAGTTAATAGCAGAATTTCAGACTACGGTAAAATCGCTATGGAGGCATGCTGGCATGCTTTCGTTAAATCAGCGGAGGACACGTTGTCAGCATATGATTGTGTGCGGGTGGTTGAGATGATCACATTAGCCTTCAATAACGTCATGAATAGTCTCTGTGCACTTACCGTGTAGTTCAGAAATGGATTAAATACAAGAAACTACAAAGTAAACTATTTAGGGCACTTGGTGCATTTGTCGAAGCAGGTGGACACTTTGGAATTTCATTTACCCAGAGTTATCTTGATAACATACATTGATAACATGTGGATGGATTTCAAAGGTCGTTAGCAGAAACAGGTCGACCTTAGTTTTGACATGGTGTCACAGTGTAAGGCCTGCTTATCGCAATTGAGAGGGCCACCCGCAGAACTCACACTGGACAGGGGGTTCTTTCACTGCTAGTATGGGGTAAACAAGACAGTAGTACTGGAAATGAAATACACATACACCAAAATATCAAGTTAAAGCTCCTGGCTTTAATACCTCACAAAATAATTACAAGAAATAAAGCACAGAAAATGCAATGAATAAAGTCACTAGAATAAGGGATTGTTTTTTTTCGTGTGTAAACATGAAATGACCCATACGGGGCCTAGCTGTTGAATTATACGAATAAGATTTACATCATCCAGTTGACGACGTATGCGAGTTGTAGAAAAACGTAGAAAGAACACTCACAGTAATAACATAGATTCATCTCCACGTGGTGTGCATGTTACTCGCCTACTCGACGGGCGTTGAGAAACAATTGTAAACTTGCCTATACAATGGGTAAAAATAATATGGTTTTTGACAATTAGTGTCACCAGGCAGAGTAGTTAAATGTTACAGATTTTACATCTAAAGTTGGTCTCATCGAGAATTAATGCTGTACCAATATTTTTTTGTTTGTATCATGATAATCGACCGTCCGCCGTATTTCCTGCTATGACATATTTTCATGTGTTCAAAATAATGTCCGCCATTTTGTCGTGCTTGGTCGTAATTGGTTATTAAAAAACAATAAAAACAATCGTCTATGTGAACTTTCGATACACAGATGCACAAACTACAAACGAGCAAGCAGTAATACTGACATAATTAAACGACTTTACACGTATGCTTAAACCCACACAAAATGCCTGACCAGACCAGAAATATTTTGCGAGGCCTTACATGTAAATCTTCCAATTCCTAGAATGAAATCATGAAATAAATACCACAATTAATATAATACCTCTCAACATTATCACAATGGTTGTGTCAATCACT